GGAATCAAACCTGGACCTCTCAGTCCATGGGATGATGCTCATTCCACTGAGCCACACTGGCCAGGCTGATCCCATAATCTTTTCATAGATGTGCAGTGCTCAGTTTTGGTGGTAGGGTTATAGGCATTACTTCTATTTTCCTATCCATATTTTATTTTGTTATTATTTTTTTGTTAATCTTCACCTGAGGATATTTTTTTTCATTGAGAGAGAGTGGAAAGGAGGGAGGTGGAGAGAGAAAAAGAGAGAGAGACATCTATGTAAGAGAGACACATGGATTGGTTGCTTTCCGCACAACCCCAACCTGGGCTGGGGAGCAACCAGATACATCACTTGACTGGAAACCAGGTACATGCCCTTGACTGGGAATCGAACCCATGACCCTTCAGTGTACAACCGATGCTCTAACCACTGAGCACACCAGCCAGGGCTCTATCCATATTTTACATTTTTTTTTTATCCTCACCTGAGGACATTTTTCCATTTTTTGTTCAGATAGAGTGGGAGGGAGGGAGGGAGGGAGGAAGAGAGAGAGAGAGAGAGAGAGAGAGAGAGACAGAAACATCGACGTGAAAGGGACACATCGAGTGGCTGCCACCCGCACAACTGCAACTGAGTTACGCGCCCTTAGCGGGAACTGAACCTGGGTCTCTCTGGACTGCAGGCTGATGCTCTAACCACTGAGTCAAACTGACCAGGGCCATTTTTCCATTTTTTACTCAGATAGAGCGGGAGGGAGAGAGAGGAAGAGAGAGAGAGAGAAACATCGATGTGAAAGGGACACATCGAGTGGCTGCCACTCGCACGACCCAACCAGGGTTGGGGACAAACTGCAACTGCGGTATATGCCCTTAGCGGGAACCGAACCCGCGTCTCTCTGAACTGCAGGCTGACGCTCTAACCACTGAGCAAACTGGCCAGGGCTCTATCCATATTTTAAAACTTTTCTATAATAAACATTTAATGCTTTTGTAATTAAAAAATTCTAATAAGTTAATTTCATTATTTAAAATCAGATGTAAAAGATTCCCTAAAGGGCATGAGGCAATTTTAGCTTAATGTACCAAGCCTCCTGTTAAATCTATAGTCAATCAAAAACTTTTATTAAAAAATTTTTTTTTTTATTTTAGAAGAATCTCATAGCAATGAATTTTGTTTATATTTTTTCCTTTTTATTATATTTATTATACTTATTGGGGTGACAGTGGTTAGCAAAATTTTACAGGTTTCAGGTGCAGCACATTATCTGTGCACTGTACTGTGTGTTCACCACCCCATCAGGTCTCCATCCATCACCATTTATCCTTCCCACGCCCCGCCATCACCTTGAGTTCTTCCTCTCTTTTTTCTGTTTTTGCTCAGTCCCTCCACCTCCCCCACTGAGTGCTCCCCGCTAGAGCTGCCAGCCTGCTCTCTCTGAGTCTGTCTCTGTTTTTCTTGTTAGTTCATTTTGTTCATTGGATTCCGTAGCCAAGATTTGGAAGCAGCCCAGGTGTCCATCGGTAGGTGCGTGGATAACAAAGCTGTGGTACATTTACACAGTGAATACTACTCGGCTGTAAAAAAGAAGGAAATTTTACCCTTTGACAGCATGGATGGACCTGGAGAATATTATTCTAAGTGAAATAAGCCAGTCAGAGAAAGACAAGTGTCGTATCATATGATTTCACTCATATGTGGGATCAAAAAACTTTTGAATAAATATATTAAATTACAGTAGCCTCCGCTTATCTGCAGGTTTGCTTTCCACAGTTTCATTTACCTGTAGTCAACTGCAGTCTGAAAATACTAAATAGAAAATTCCAGAAATAAAAAAAAATTCCAGAAATAGACAATTAATATGTTTTAAATTGAGTGTGTTTGAGGGTTGGGTTCAGGAGGAGGGTGACAATGAGGGGAAAAGGAGAAACATCTGTAACAAAAATAAAGTAATAAAAAAAAATTAAGTCTTGAAAAACAAGTTTCAAATTATGCACTGATCTGAGTAGCATGATGAAATTTTGTGCTATCCCACTTGGGACAGGAATCATCCCTTTGTCCATTGTATCCATGTTGTACGTACAGTACAATAAGATATTTTGAGAGAGACCACATTCACATAACTTTTATTACAGTATATTGTTATAATTGTCCTATTTTATCATTATATTTGTTCATCTCTATTGTGCCTAATTATAAATTAAATTTTATTATAGATACATATGAATAGAAAAAATATGTAGGGTTTGGTACTGTCCACAGTTTCAGGCATCCCCCGGGGGTCTTGGAATGTATATCTCATGGATAAGGGGGGACAACTACTGTATGAAGGGGCAGGAAGAAAAGTCGTAGTTAGGGCATGTCTTCAGATTTTAGGAGTTCCTGATGATAACTGTTAGTAGTAACAGCATTTGCTGATGGGATGACCTCACTGATAACATTGAAATCCCATAGATGTAAAGACGTTGGCAGGATTTTATTTGTTTTTGTATTTGTGGGTGGTGGTGGTGGTTTTTCTCTCCTCTCACCTCCAAGCCACATTTTCTGAAAATGAGTACTTCCTGAATCTGCTCAATACATTGCAGTAGTTTTTGACCTTGGCTGCATATTAAAATCATCTGGGGATCTTTTAAAAAATGTTTAATCCCAATCCCAGAGAAAAAGTAACTGTCCAGCAGAATCTCATTTGCAGTTAACATTGAGAACCATTGCTATGGAACAAGGGTTGGCGAACTTTTCCCGCAAAGGGTTAGATAGTAAATATTTTATGCTTTGCAGATCATATGCCTCTGTCGCAAATACTCTACTCTGGGATTGTAGCCTGAAAGCAGCCTAGATAATAAGTAAACAAATGTGTGTGGTTGTGTTCCAATAAAACTTTATTGATAAAATGGTGGTGGGTTAGATTTGGCTCGAGACTGTGGTTTCCCAACACCTCCTATAGCAGATACAAAAATATTAAATAGTTTCCTGTTTTATTTTAATAATGGTAAAACCTGAAGAGAAGACAGCTGAGGTTTTGCATGATATTATGAAAAGAGTTTAGGATTTGACATTAGAATCCCTGTGTTCAAATCCTGGCTCTACATTGGCTGTATAGTCTTAGGGAAGTCACTTAGTCCTTTTGATCCAATATTATTTTGTCCTTCTGAGAATGAGGACAATAATAATGTGCACTTCACAGGGTGATTTTAAAGATCAAATGGAATAAGGTAGGTGAAAGTGCTTTATAAACTGGAAATGCTAAACATATATTGCTTGTACTTATAAATTGCTTGTTGCTCAGCATCTTGTAGATTCATGTGTAATAAATATTAAATATTTAAAAGTAAAGCAAATTAGGAAATTTGAATTTAAATGTAATATAAACATGAAGACTGAGAAAAATGAATTATATATAATGCATTTCTAATTTTCTCACCCAACAAAGTGACTTTAGATTGGTAAAAGCTGCTTTTAAAAGAAGATTGTATAAATGGTACATATTTTTTCCAAAATATTCTAGGTACAAAAATTTTCTAGGTAAAAATTGGTTTTTATCGCGGTCGGAATTGACAAGTGCAGGACGTTGGAGAGGACGCAGGAAGGAGCTATGTGGAGAGGTCAGGGTAGAAGTCGGGTGGAGGCCTGCAGAAATGCAGGGGGGCCCTGTGACCTTAAAGCATTTTCAGTGGGGCAGGGACAGGGAGGCTGGACTGTAGGCCGTTAGGAGCGAGTGGACAGAGGAAACAGAGGCTTTAGAAGTAGATGGGCTCTTTCTACAGGTTTGGCAGAAGAGAGAAAAAATAGGGTGTAGCTCAAAAGGGTCTCAGGGTCCTGAAGTTGTTAGCTCAAAGAAAGGGGGGCTGTTTATGGAGACTGAGGGGCCCTAGCTAGCCCAGTGGGAAGGAGTAGGACCAGGAGCCACAGGGGAGGGAGACAGCCTGAGGGCAGATGAGGAGGACAAGTTGAGAGTGGGTGTGGAGAAATGTCCAGGGAGGGGGAAGGTGACCCTAGCCCTGGGCAGTGGAGGTCAGGCTCCAGGGAGAAAAGTGGGCAGGGAGACTTGTAAAGAAGGTGTGGTGGGTCTGAGCAGCTTAATGGGAGGCTGACCAGAGATATGTACTCTCCCTCAGCACACTGCCTCCCCCTTTTCTCCCCCTCTCTTACTCAGACTGCACCCTGCCCAGGGATTGGACAGGCGAGCACCTGTGTTCCTGCTAAACTAGAAGCTCCCTGAGTGCAAGGCTTATGTCGAATTCACATTGATATCTGCTGGAACACTCAGCATCAGGCTTGCACAGAGCACATGGTTGCTGCATGCCTGCTGGATGCACGAAGAAAGAAATGAGGGAAGGTTTCTGTGAACACGAGACTGAGCTGACCTTGCACAGTAGGGTTAGGTAAAACAAGCCTCCTGCCTAGGTAGGGATGAAAGTGAGAGAGCCTAGATTCCTAATAAATTGAAAGCCACTCCCTCCTGGGAGCCTACCTCTTTTTCCACATTTGCATTACTCATGTGTGTGCTCTCTCAGCTGTCTGCCCTTCCTCATCATGGAATTGATCACCGTGGGTGAGATGGTCTTTTTACTTGATTGTCTTGTCTCTATCCCCCTTGGACTGCTGAGCTTCAGTTGGAGGCAGGGCTGATATCTTTCTTGTCTCTGTATTTGCATCACTTAACAGATAATGGACTCTCATTAAGTATGTGTTCAGTTGATTACAAATTGGCTGGTTGGGGATCCAAAACCTCCAGAACATTCTCTGCCAGTGTGGTTCAGTGGATTGAGCATCATCCCATGGATTGAGAGGTCCTGGTTCAATTTCCAGTCAGGGCATGTGTCCAGGTTGAGGGCTTAATCCTTAGTAAGGGGCGTGTAGGAGGCAGCTGATCTGTAAGTACTTCTCTCTGACATTGATGTTTCTATCTCTCTCTTTCTAAAAAATCAATAAAAACATATTAAAAAAATATTTAAAACCTTGAGAACTAGTTGTAAGTTTTCTCTCCAGGTCTCTCTCTCTTTCAAACCCTGCCACTGTAGGAAGAAATTCGGTACCTTCTGAAGGACTTCAGCCCGCTCCATGTCCACAAAGTCCAGAGTGGCTGCAAATGGTAATGACTGTACTTCCTTTGTTTTCTTTGGGAAGCAACTCCTTTCCTTTTGGTCCATTTTGCTGATGCACTGACATTGCAGACTAGCTGTTGAGCTCCCAAATCCACACCCACTTGACTTGGCAAAGTGACATTTGGAAGTCCCCTTTGACTTGGCAGCTAATGCTGTCTTGTCCACACAACCTGGTTTAGAAGTCCGGAGACCTGAGTCTATTTTTGGTAACGTCTTTGCTCTGTATTGTGACTTGAGGTAAGTGACCGAACCTTCCTTAGCCTTGGTTGCCCTGGGAAAGTGGACCAACTCATATTTTCAAGGCAGTAAACGTGCTTTGAACTTTTGGGGGGAGTAGTATAAAAGAAGCCCAAAGCCCTATGTAGCCAGATGGTGTTTAGCGTTAGAATGATCCCATGTCTTCTGATCCCTGCCACCCAGCCCAGCCCAAGTCTGGGCCTCAGTGACTTGTTTGTGTATCTGGACACAAACAAGTGTGTGTCTGTGTGTCTGTGGAAGGGGAGAAGAGAATACCTGCGTTCAGGCTTGGCACCCTCCTGCAGCTCTGGCCTGTGACGTGCTCAGAGCTGCCCTGTCTCCTTCCTTTGCAGCTTTGCATTTGTGGATCTGGGCTCTGTGCAGAAAGTGGCGCTTGTGATCCAGGAGCTGAATGGAAAGCCTTTCCACAATAAAAAACTGTACGTGAATTCCAACAGAAGCTCTCCCAAGAGGACCCCTGGTGTGGCCGCGAGGCCTCAGGAGCTGCAGGTACCTGCTCCAGGTCCACGCTCTGGTGGCTTTGCACTCACTCTGCAGGGGGCTGCAGACCTCCTCCTTCAGCCTGTCTTACTGTGGAGAAGGCGGGGGCTTGGATGAAATTAGAGAAACTTCATGACCTTTAACAGTCAGAGGCAAGGTCAGGTACAGAAAAGTAGTTGGAATCTTTAAATAAAGGGGAGGCTGTGTTCTGGGCAAGGACAAAAATGGATACTAGGCAATTCAGTCAGGGCTTTTTTGACCTTGGATATTGATTTGAGATGTTTAATCATTCAATGTAGCAAATATTGAGTATCTGTTGCTTGCACAGCCTTGTTCTGGCTGCGGCTGTGAGGTTAAGACAAAAGGGAACAAAATCTGGTCCTTCTTGGCAGGAAGACTCAATGTCAAGATGTGAGGTAGGGGAAGGAGGCAGTTAATGCTGCTGGTGCATGGTGGGGGCTGCCTTTATGGACAGAGAAGGGAAGGCCCCTAACTCACCCCCAGAGCTTCCCTCAGGTGAGGCAGGCCCGTTCTAGGCAGGCAGAGGTGAACCAGGAACAAAGGACTCCACTTTGGAGCCTGACTTGTTAGAGACGGACTTGGCGGCATACATGAGGAAATCTGAACCATGGTGACTTAAACAAGTTAGCTGTTTTTTTTTCTTTCCTGTAGAGGAATTCAGGAGGTAGGGAGTCCAAGGTTGTATGGAAACTCCATGATGTTATCAAGTTTCCAGGCAGGAAGAAGGGGAGAGGCAAAGGGTCGAGGGCCTATGTCCTCATAAAAGGCACATTCTCAGATGCCTGACCACAGTCCTGCTTAGGTTTTCTTGTAGAAAACTGCAGCTTGTGGCCTTAAATGCAAAGGAGGGTGGAAAATGTAGTTTTTGAAAACGGCACATTGTTGTTAAACTTGTCAGTGAGGAAGGAGAGAAGGCATACTGACAGGCCGTTGATAGGCCGTTAACAAGGTCGGCCAAGCTGGAGAAGTGGGAGATGAGAGTTGAGAGGTGGATTGGAATCACCACAGTAGGTTGACAGAGGTGGCCCCCTTGCTAGTTCCATACTATTTTCTTCCTTTCTCTGTAAACCCTAGCTCTTTGGGAGGGCAGACTGCCAGCTTATGCTGCTTACTGACCTTCCTGGAGCAGCCATCTACCATCCTCTCTGTCATGCCCCCTGACTCCTGGATAACTTCAGCTTCTGGCTCACTGCCTTTCTCTCCTCAAATTCGGTGTCCGTGCGGATGATTCGTCTGAGAGTCCGGCCCCTTATTTTCTAGACCATTGTATTTTTAATGATCTTTTCTAAAATTTGGTCAGTTTCTCAGTCTCCTAGCTATATTTCAGACCTTGTCATTGCTCATAATGGCTCTAAAATACCCATTTCAAGCATCTTGCTCTGCCCCTCCACCCATCTGTGCAGCTCTCTTACTCTAAAAGAGTGGTTCTCACATTTTAGCAGCATAGACTTGACCACCTTGTTAACAGCTTGAGGCCTGCCCACAGAGATGCTGATAGACTGCATCTAGGCTGGGGCCCGAGAGTTTGCACAGTTACCAGGTGCTGGAACTACAGGTCCTAGGACCATATTTTGAGTAGCAAGGTACTAAAGCCCCCAGTCCGATGATTAGACACATCGGGACCATAAATTCACTGCCCCCACCATTTCTTCACTATTCAACACTCTCTTTACTCCTAACTTCCCTTCTTATCTTAGATTCCACAGTTATAACTACCTTAGTTCAAACACCCGTAACTCCCTTAACCCACTATATAGGTCATATCTTGCAAAATTCACCTTCCACTTGAACCCAGCCCTCTACCTGATCTGCAGGTGTCCCCTGAGCCACTGGAGACACCCACGCCACCGTGTTAACTGGTCTCAGTGTGTGTTCAGTCATAGTGTTTCCACTCTCCCAAACTGACCTGTTTTGGAATTCTCTAGTCTTTTCATCTCTGCTCAATCTGTTATTAAGCCCATTGAATGTATTTTTCATTTTAGTGTATTTTTCAAGTTCCATGTAGTTCTTTTTTCCCAGTTCTCTGCTAAAATCTTTCTTCTTTTCACACATTGTGCCTGTCTTTTCTTCTAGGTTCTTTAAAATATTTATGATAGTTATAAAATAATTTTCTGCTAATTTCAACATCTGGGTTATTTGTGGCTCTGCTTCTATTGACATTTACCTCCTTGATTATGGGTCAAGGCTTCTTTACAAATACAGTAATTTTTATTGTATGTTGGATAGCGTGAATGTTATATTGTAGAGACTTTTTATATTATGGTATTTAAATAGTGTTAATTTTTTTTCTAGCAAAAATCAAATTATTGGCCGATTTTTTAATCTTATTTAAGTTGATTTTCTTTTTTGGGATTGTTCTATGTCAGTTTGAGCCTTAGTTCTTGGGCATAGCCCTTTCCCTAAGGCTTGGCTTTCCAGGGTCTCAGGTGAGGGTCTCAGGGTGCACCTTACCAAGGTCTCACCACTCAGGCTGGGTGGGGGACTCCATTGTCTACCCAGCACTGTGAGACCTCGGGTATCTGTGTTCTTCTCTCAGCTCCTGTCCCTCACCCCTACAGAGGTCTTCTTTCCAAGGCTTCCCAGAACTTACCCTGCACACGGGCGGTTAGGATTCAGCCAAGGACCCCAGGTGAGCCCCTAGTGTTTTGGAACTTTTCTGTGGCTCCTTCTTCTCTGGTACCCTGTCCCACAAATTCCTGTCACCCAAACATTTATCTGTATTTCTTCTGGCCAGAGAGACTGCCAGCGACTGCTTCAGGTCTGCTTCCTTGTGCTGTGGTTGGTAAAGTGCTCCAGGAAAAGGCCAGAGAGAGTGCGCCACTCACCTCCTGTGCCTTCCTTCTCCTCAGGCAAATGGCCCTGTGCCTGAAACGGGTAGTTCATGTATTGTGTCCAGTTTTAGAGTTGTTTGGGGGGTGGGAGAATTAAGTTCTGTCATGGCAGAACCCGATACTAGAAAAGGGTATGATGGGGCTTGCCTTGCTTTTCTGATGGACACGTTTTCCTGGGAACATTTCCAATACTTTTACATTAGGAATAAGTTACCAAAAGATGAACACAAGTCTCCATACATTTGAAAATTTAAAAACACATTTCAAAGCAAGCAACATGTAGGTCAAAAAAGAAATCATAACAGAAATGTAAAAATACATAGAACTGAGCAATACGGAAAATAACTTCCCATCGAAAGGTGTGGGATGCAGTGCAAACAGTGCTCTCGGGGACGTGGATGGTGTTGAATGCTTGAATGAGCAGGGAAGACAGGTGCAAGACTAGTGAGCTAGGAGTTGATCAAAGAACTAAGTAAAAATAGACTTCCGGTCAAGATGGCGGGGTAGGTAAAGCGGTATTGTGTCCTCCCACAACCACATCAAAGTTACAGCTAAACTACTGAACAACCATCATTAAAAACTGCCTGAAACCAAGCTGAATGGAAGTCCTACAACTACAGAATTAAAGAAGCAGCCACATAGAGACTGGTAGGAGGGGCGGAGGCAGACGGGCTGGTCCCACACCCACATGTGGCAGATAAAAATCAGGAGGGACACCTCAGCTGGGAAGGTCCTTCTTGAGGACTGAGGGGGTCCCCTTCCCACACCAGGTGCCCCGCTCAGGGTTCCAGTGCCAGGAAGAGAAGTCCCCATAACTTCTGCCTGGAAAAACCAGCGGGAACTGAGGCTCAGGGAAGCTGAAGCGGCTGGAGCCCCAGGCAGCTCCTTAAAGGGCCCGCGCACAGACTTATCGGACTCTCTCCCTCTAAGCATGGAGGGGAGGCAGCTCGAGGGGCACCAGAGACATACAGGGAAGAACTGAGCTGTTTGGCACTGGAGCAAAGGCTGGAGCGGGGGTTTTCTCTGGGACAAACGTGTTGTCGGAGGCCTTTGTTCCTTCGGTGAGCCCTTCCCTGGGCGGCAGACAGCGGCCATATCTGGGACTCCAGCAACCTGGCTCACACTGGTAGCCCCGCCCTGGTGACTCCCTGAGACCCCGCCCCATCCAACTTTCAGGCCCACCCAAGCTGATGCCAGTTGTTTATCCATAGGATTGGCCTGTCTTGGATCCTGCTTCAGGTTTTCCTAAATTCTTTCAAACAAGCAGCATCTGGTCTGAGCTAGCCCCATACCGCTCGTTAAGTAATACACTGAAACAAACACAGGGAGGCAGCCAAAATGAGGAGACAAAGAAACAGGAGCCAAATGAAAGAACAGAACAAAACCCCAAGAAAAGAACTAAGCGAAATGGAGATAAGCAACCTAACAGATGCTGAGTTCAAAATACTGCTTATAAGGATACTCAATGAACTCAGTGAGAACCTCAGTGAACTTAGTGAGGGCCTCAAGAGCATAAAAAAGAACCAGTCAGAAATGATGAATGCACAATCAGAAATGAAGGAGGCATTAATTGAAATAAAGAATATTTTACACAGATTCAGTAGTAGAGTACGTAAATCCAAGAAGCAAAAAATTCAATTTGGAATATAAGGAAGCAAAAAACGCTTCAGAACAGCATAAATAAAAGAGAATCCAAAAAAATGAGGATAGTGTAAGGAGCCTCTGGGACAACTTCAGGAGTGCCAACATTCGCATGTTGGGGGTGCCAGAAGGGGAAGAGCGAGAACAAGAAATTGAAAACCTGTTTGAAACAATAATGGCAGAAAACTTTCCTAACTTGGTGAAGGAAACAGACATACAAGTCCAGGAAGCACAAAGAGTCCCAAATAAGATGAACCCCAAGAGGCCCACACCAAGACACATCATCATCAGAATGCAAAAGGTTCAAGACCGAGACAATCTAACAAGCAGCAAGAGGAAAGCAGTTAGTTACCTACAAGGGAGTTCCCATAAGACTGTCAGCTGATTTCTCAAAAGAAACTTTGCAGGCTAGAAGGGAGTGGCAAGAAATATTCACAGTAATGAAAAGCAAGAACCTACAGCCAAATTACTCTATCCTGCAAAGCTGTCATTTAGAATCAATGGCCATATAAAGACTTTCCCAGACAAGAAAAAGTTAAAGGAGTTCATCACCACCAAACCATTATTATATGAAATGATGAAGGGTCTTTTTGAAGAAAAAGATAAAATATATGAACAAACAAAATGGCAATGAATACATATCTATCGACAATGGAATCTACAAACAAAATGAACAGGTAGAACAGAAACATTCTCATAGATACAGAGAACATTTTGTTGATTGCCAGATGGGAGGGGGGTTGGGGGAATGGGTGAAAAGGGTGAAGGGATTAAGAAGTACAAATTGGTTGCTAGACTGAAAAATCTCAAAGGAAAAGGGGTTGGGGGGTGGGAAGAAATAAACCAAAGAACTTATATGCATAGCCAATGGACACAGACAGTGTGGGGAAAGGCGGGAAGGGGGTGGGGGTGGGGAGTGGGGTCAATGGGGGAAAAATGAGGAACATCTGTAATACAGTCTACATTCAACAATAAAGATTAAAAAAAAAAAAGAGTAAAAATAAACCCAAATAGAGAGCAGACAGAAAACTTTAAAAATGAAGGTTTTTTAAAATGTAAAATGTATACACAAAGCTACAGTTATATGTCAATTTTATGTTAATGCCGGGGGAGGGGAAACATAAAAAACAAAGCTACAATAGAAAGTATCAATAAGGCCAAAATTTTATTCTTTAAAGAGATTAGTGAAATATAAAAATCTTTAGCAAGATTAATCAAGAAAAAAGGAAAATCGGGCATAAATTAAATTAGTAGTGAAAAGGATATCATAACTATAATATGGAAATATAAAATTTGAAGAAGTTGACATTTCTTAAAGTATATAATTTATTTATTAAATTGTTTATTGATTAGACAGAGGAGAAGGGAGAAGGAGAGATAGAAACATCAATTGGCCACCTCCTGGAATCGGCCCCACAACCTGGGCATGTGCCCTGACCAGGTTGTGGACCAAATCCCCAGTGTGGGGCATGCAGGAGGCAGCCACTCGATGTTCTCTCTCATCGATGTTTGTATCTCTCTCTCCCACTCCATTTCTTTCTTTCTCTCAAATTAATAAAGAAAAAAAACATTAAAAAAAACAACCAATAACCCTGATTGTCCTATGACCACAAAGTAGTTGAATCATACTTTATAATCTCACAAACAAAACACCAGCCCAGATTGTTTTTTAGGTAGGTTTTACCAAATTTTCATGGAACAGAAAAATCCTAACATTACATAAATTCTTCCAAAGAGTTCATTCTGTGAGGCCAGTATAACCTTGATATCAAACCAGACAGGATAGCATAAGAAAGAAAAATTACAAGCCGATTTTAGTCGTGAATATACCTGCGACATTTCTAAATAAAATATTGTGAAAATGAAGTCAATATTGGCTAATGAAGGTAGTATATGATGACAGTTTTTTACACAAAATACAAAAGTAGTTTATTATTATTATTATTATTATTATTTTTAATCCTCACCCAAGGACATTTTTGCATTTATCTTCAGATAGAGTGGGAGGGAGAGAAGGAGGAAGAGAGAGAGAAACATCAATATGAGAGAGACACATTGAATGGTTGCTGCCCACATGACTCCAACCAGGGCCAGGGACAAACTGCAACCAAGGTACGTGCCCTTTGCAGGAACCAAACCTGGGACTCTCTGGTCCCTGGGCTGATGCTCCAACTGCTGAGCCAAACTGGCCAGGGCCAAAAGTAGTTGAATACCAGAAAAACTATAAATGTCTTTCACTATGTTAACAGAGTAAAGAATGAAAACCATATGATAATCTTGAATAGACACAGCAAAAGCATTCAATAAAACTCTCCACTAATTTATGATTTAAAAAATAAAGATTCTTAGCAGCTAGAGAAATAGCTTATTTCTTAATATGATTCTTAATATTCTTAATATGATAAAGACTTACCAAAATCCTACAGAAAAAAAATATTTTAATGGGGAAACACCATCAGCATTCTCTTTAAAACCCAGAATAGCCCTGGCTGATTTTTGTCATTGGTTAGAGCATCGGCCCATGGACCATTGAGTAGCAGGTTTGATTCTGGCCAAGGGCGCGTACCTTGGTTGTGGTTTGTCCCAGACCCTGGTCAGGATTGTGTTGGAAGCAACCTGTTGATGTTGATGTTTCTTTCTCTCTCTCCCCTCCTCCCTCCCATTCTGTCTGAAGATAAATAGAAAAATATCCTTGGGTGAGGATTAAAAACAAACCCAGAACAAGACAAGGATGCCCACCGTGATCACCCCTTCTGTTCAGCATATAGTTAAGGTTCTAGTTTGTCCAGGAAGAAAAGAAAAATTAATTAAAGGCATACATTTTGGAACAGGAGAAACAAAAATGTCATTATTTACAGATTATGTTGCTATATGTAGAAAAACTTTAATATATAAATTATTAGAAATGGCAGTTTAACAAGGTAGCTGAATATATAAGATCAGGTATACCAAAATCATTTGCATTTGGATTAATGGATGATTTAAAATGAAGACTTTCTCTCCCTGGCCAGTTTGGCTCAGCGGTTAGAGCGTCGACCTGAGGTCCAGAGAGACCCGGGTTCGGTTCCCACTAGGAGCATGTACCTCGGTTGCAGTTTGTCCCCGGCCCTGGTTGGTCGTGAGGGTGGCAGCCACTAGATGTGTCCCTTTCACGTCG